TTAGAAGTCAACACACAAAAAGCAGTTGCATTTCTATACATGAGGAATGAATGATCTGAAAACATTACAGAGAATTCCCTGGCAGTCTAGTGGTCAGGACTCAGTGCTTAGGACTCAGTGCTTTCACTGCCAGGGCCTGGGTTCAATCCCTGGTTGGGGAACGAAGATCCCACAAGCTGTGTGGTGCAGCCAAAAAAACCCCAAAAAACCCCCCACCATATTACAATAATAATTACATTTACAAGCACCAAAAAGAATAAAATACTTAGGAAATAACCAAGAAGGAGAAAGACTTGTATAATGAAAACTGCAAGACATTCTGAAAGAAATTAAAGAAGAGAAATAAGTGGAAACTCCCTGTGTTCACTAATTGGAAGACTTACTATTAAAACACCAGTATTACTCAGAAGTTTTCTGCAGGTTCGGTGCAATCCCGATCAAAATCCTGATGATTTTTTCCTCAGAAATTGTAAAACTTATACTAAATTTCATAAGGAATCTCAAGGGATCCTGAATAGTCAACACAATCCTGAAAAAGAACAAAACGATGACTTTCAGTTCCCAGTTTCAGAACTTACTGCAAAAACTAGTCAAAACAGGGTGCTACTGGCTTAAAGACAGACATATAGACCAATGGAATAGAATAGAGAGCCCAGAAGTGAACCCTCACATATATGGCCAGATGATTTTTGGTTTTGTTTTTTAATATTTTATTTATTTATTTATGGCTGCGTTGAGTCTTAGTTGCAGCACACAGGATCTTCGTTGCAGCACACAGGCTTCTCTCTAGTTGTGGTGCATGGGCTCAGTAGTTGTGGTGCACGGGATTAGTTGCCCTGTGGCATGTGAGATCTTAGTTCCCTGATCAGGGATCGAACCCATGTCCCATGCATTGGAAGGTGGATTCTTAACTACTGGACCACCAGGGAAGTCCCTGGCCAGATGATTTTTGACAAAGGTGCCAAGATCATTCAATGGGGAAAGGAGAGTCTTCTCAGTAAATGATGCTGGGAAAACTAGATATCCACATGCAAAAGTATGAAGTTGGGCCTTTCCCTAACACCAAATACAAAAATTGACTTAAAATGTACCAAAGACCTAAATGTAAGACTTAACAGTATAGGGAGTAACCTGGCAGTCCAGTGGTTAAGACTCCATGCTTTCACTGCCGAGGGCATAGGTTCGACCCCTGGTTGGGGAACTAAGATCCCAGAAGCCGTGCAATGTAGCAAAACAAACAAAACCCGCTATAAAACTCTTAAAACATAGGACTAGGGCTTCCCTGGTGGTGCAGCGGTTGAGAATCCGCCTGCTGATGCAGGGGACACGGGTTTGTGCCCCGGTCTGGGAAGATCCCACGTGCCGCAGAACGGCTGGGTCCGTGAGCCATGGCCACTGAGCCTGCGCGTCCGGAGCCTGTGCTCCGCAACGGGAGAGGCCACAACAGTGAGAGGCCCACGTAACGCAAAAAAAACAAACAAAAAAAACATAGGACTAAAGCTTCAGAACATTGAATTTGGCAATGATTTCTTGGACATGTCACAAAATGCACAGGCAACAAAAGAAAAAATAGGAACTTCCCTGGTGGTCCAGTGGCAGGGGTTAAGACTCCATGCTTCCAGGCTTCCCTGGTGGCACAGTGGTTAAGAATCTGCCTGCCAATGCAGGGGACACCAGTTCGAGCTCTGGTCCGGGAAGATCCCACATGCCTCGGAGCAACCAAGCCCGTGCACCACAACTACTGAGCCCATGAACCACAACTACTGAGCTCACACGCCTAGAGCCCATGCTCTGCAACAAGAGAAGCCACCGCAATGAGAAGCCTGCACATCACAATGAAGAGTAGCCCCCGCTTGCCACAGCTAGAGAAAGCCCATGCATAGCAACGAAGACCCAACGCAGCCAAATAATAATAATAAAAAGAAATTCATGAATCCTGATCGGTTCATAGATTAAAAAAAAAAAAAAAAAGACTCCACGCTTCCACTGCAGGGGGTGCGGGTTCAGTCCCCGGTCGGGGAAGTAAGATCCTACATGCTGCATGGTGCGGCCAAAAAGAAAAAGAAAAAATAGACAAATTGGACTTCATGAAAATTTAAAATTTTGTGCAGAGCCAGTATCCATAAAATAAAAAGGCAGTCCACAGAATGGGAGATAATATTTGCAAATCATATATCTGATAAGGAATTAATATCTAGAATATAGTAAAAATGACTAGAACTCAATGACAAGGACAACAAAACAATTCAAAAACAGACAAAGGAGTTGAATAGAAATCTCTCCAGAGAAGATGTACAAGTGACCAAAAACCATATGAAAAGATGCTCAATATCACTAATCATTAGGGAAATGCAAATCAGAACTACAAGATACCAACTCACAACCATTAGGATGGCTACTATTTTAAAAAAGTAACAGAAAATTACAAGTGTTCTCAAGAATGTGGAGAAATTTGAACCCTTGTGCACTGTTGCTGGGAATGCAAAATGGTATAGCCACTGTGGAAAACAGTATGGCTGTTCCTCAAATAATTAAAAATGGAACTGCCAAATGATACAGCAATTCCACTCTTGGGTATACACCCAAAAGAATTGAAAGTAAGGTCTCAAAATGATAGTAGCATTATTCACAATAGCTAAAATATGGAAGCAACCCAAGTGTCCATCAGTGAATGAATGGATAAACAAAATGTGGTATGTCCATATGATGGAATATCATTCAGCCTTAAAAAGGAAGGAAACTTTGCAGTATGCTACAACATTGATGAACCTTGAGGACATTATGCTAAGTAAAATAAGCCAGTGACAAAAACCCAAATTACTGTATGATTCCACTTATATGCAGTACTTAGAGTGCTCAAAAATCATAGAGACAGTCAGTAGAGTAGTGGTTGCCAGGAGCTGAGGGGAGAGGGGATAGGCAGTTAGTTTTTAATTCTTATAGAATTTCAGCTTTACAAGATGAAAAGAGTTAACGGAGATGGATGGCGGTGATGGTTGCACAATATGAATATTTAGTACCACTGAACTGTACACTTAAAAATAGTTAGGATAGTATATTTTGTTTCGTATATTTTACCACAATAAAAAGTTGGAAAAATGTGTGCAAATAGCTGACAAAGATTCAAGATTCTTTTGTCAAGAAAGACAAAATTTTATCTTATTTATACTAGTAACACCTCTGAAAAATATCCATAGGCCTGTGATCCCTTATCTGAAATCCTTAAGGTTTGAGGCAGCACACTGTATCAAAAACATTAATATTTATGCAGTTAAGCATTTAAATATCCACACTAAGTAGTTTAAGTAGAGCAAGGCCCTTGGGAGAAAGGAGGTAATGATAGTTGTAGCAGCTGACATTCACCACACTCTGACCGAGGGCAGTCTCGGGTGTTCCTTAACAACAACCTGAGGATGCAGGTGCTGGCAACCCCATATGACAGAGGAAGCTCTTTAGCTCTGGGGGCTTCAGTAACTCGTAGCAGTAAGTCTGCTAGTAACTGGCAGGTCTGGACTGTCCACCAGTTTGACTGAAGTCCCACTGTTCCTGGTGGGCTTCTTGGGGTCGAAGCATCACAGCATGTGGGGGTAATGGGGTCCCCCCTCCTCCTTGCTAACCAAAGTCCTACTGGGGCAGCATGTGTTCCCTGCTCTTCGTGCCAGCACTGGGTTTAGAAATGGGCACTCGGCCGATGAGAAGTGGGGGCCAGAGGAGACCGCCTCCTTTTCTACCTCTCGACGCCGTGGCTGAGGTGTGCTGGGCAGACGTGACGCAGCACAGAGAACCATGGCCTGGGCATCTCTGCCCTTTTCCCTCGTTAGTGAGATGAGGAGTATCTGTACTGTTAAAGCACATTCACTTGTCCTGTCAGTTGCATCCAGACGTACCCTGACAGATGTAATCCCTGAGAATTCCCCAACTGAAATCCAGATGCTGCACGGAGGGGGATAGGCTAACTCACTACTGGCCATTAACACCTCAGTGGTGATGAGTTTATCAGACACAACCTATCACGTTTGAGAGCAGAAGCCTATGGTGCCAAGGAGAGTAACAATAGAGCGCTTTCGGCGTCCGTGGAGGCAGATTCCATTATCGCCTTTATTTATAGATGAGGACACTGAGGCAGAGGCTACATAACCAGCCCAAGGCCACAGAGCCAGAGGCAGCCTGCCGTCCTGACCTCCGCTGCTCACCCTCATCTGTGGGTGGGGAGAGGGCGCTCTGATGCCACCTTTAGTAGGAGAAGCGTGCATCCCTGGACACACCTAAGATGGGCAGGCCATTTTCTTGCTTCCAAAGATATTGTGGCCTTCGTTTTGTCTCTGGGGTCCTTTCCAGCGTGTGACAGGACTGGTGTGTCCCGGGGCGGTGAGGCCAGCACACTGGAGAAATCCAGGGACGGGAAAAGGCAAAGGGGGGGTCGGTGTGGAGAGCGGGACAGAAAGGCTCGGGCTTGCAAGCTCAGTCCTCATCTTACAAACAGGGAAACAGGTCCAGGCAGAGGTGAAATGCTGCGCTGGAGGAGCTGACCAGTGTCTGGGTCAGAGCCGGGCTCCTACTAGCGAGTGCTTAGTGTCTCCAAAAGGGCATCAGTGGGCACGTCTCCGAGATACTGTCCTAGATCTTGCTGTTCGCAGAGTGAACCCAGTTAGAGATGCAGAACTTCGCTCCCTGTCCTGCGGGACAGTCCACACCTGGGGGTTTCCCGAGCCCCCCGGATACCTCAGTCCACAGTAGGCACGACAGGCTGGGAAGTGCTGATCTAGTGAAGTCCTCAAACCAGCTTTGTGAGCACATCCGTGAACCCATTCTCTGCAAACACCTCTCGCTGCGAAAATGGCTGCTGAAACGCGAAACGAGTCTACGCGTTTGTCTGAGAAACTATTGTATCAGCGCCTGTTATTTTGTTAGATAGGTCAGCGGTTCTTAAGCTTCAGTCTACACCCCCGGGGCGCTGGTAAGATCAGACGCAGGCCAACCCTAGCCCTCCCGGTTCGCAGGCCTGAGGCCCGAGCACCTGCACTTCTGTCGAGCTCCCTGGAGATACGCATGCTGCCGGCCCAGGAAGTACACTCTGTAAACCACCGAGGCACGTCCAGGAGAACCTCTCCCAGGAGGGAGCACCACTCGCCGCTCCCCGCTGCACCACGGGGGCTGCGCGAGGACCGGCTGCACGCGTGGACCGGAGCTCTCATGGGCAACACTGGCCGTCTCGGGGCCGCCAGCGCAGCGCGGGCCGCCGCGGAGTGACCGAGACACACCTGCGTCCGGACCCAGGCTCAGGGCTTGGAGACCTGGGCGAGCCTCTTCCCCTTTTGAACCTCCGTCTCTCGTCTGGGTCGGGGGACAAGGCCCCCAGCCTCCGGCCAGCGATACCGGCCCGGCAGAGGTAACGGGTTGGAGTTGGCGCCGCGTCCCCGCCGCCCTGAACCGCAGCCCTGGCCCAGGACGGCCCCCTGAGCGCGCACAGGTGTATTACCTTTGGGCCTCATCCCCGGCCCCCTCCCGCCGCCCCGCCCCCGGCCCCTCCCTACCGCCCAGCCCCTGGCTATAGTCCGGGGCACCCCCGACCGCCTCCCGCACCTTTCCGTCCTCGGCTCTTGCGCCGAGAGCAGAACCCGCGCCCCGCCGGCCCAGGCTGCGCCCATGCACGTGCGTGTGTCTTGCGCACCGAGGCTGCCCGCCTAGCTGCCCGGGCTCCGCGCCTCCGGCTCCGACCGGCTCTCAGGAGGGTGGTCTTCCATCGGCCCGGCAGCCGTCCACCTCTCCCGCGCCCCGGGCCGGGGTCGCCTGCAGCGGTGGAAGGAAGGGCGGGAACCCTGAAGCCTCGCCTGCTCCGAGGTCTGAGGAGGAAACTACTCGTGCCGCCGAGCCAAGTGGACGACCTTCGCTCCGGCCCCCTCGTCCCGGCCCTTTTCACCTGCAGGCGGACCTGGGAGCTCGCGCAGGTGCGGCGCAGGGTGGGTCCGGGACACGGCGCGTGCGGGGCTCAGTGGCAGTGGCAGGGCGCTGCGGGCCGGCGCAGCCTTCCCCCAGGCCGAGCGGGAGCAGCTGCCGGCCCCACCCGATGCCCCGGACACGTGGCGCCGGAGACCCCGGGCTGTCCCCCTCCCCTGACCGCGGGCGGGCAACTCCGAGGGCGACGTGCTCTGGCCGCGCGGGTGCCGGCGGAGACGCGGGTCTCCAGCTGTTGCAAGTACCGCCCACCCCCTTTAAGCCGGGGAGCGGACCTTCTCTTTAGCCTGGATTGGGGCGGGGGACGTCGGGGCGCGGGGCGGGGTCGGGAAGAGGAGTCTCTGACCCTGGGCCGTGGGGCAGCCGGCGGAGAGCCTGCTCCCAGAGTTTGCTGCCCGCGAGGTCGCAGATCCCGCCCAGGCCGGTCGGCTTCGGCGGCTCTAGGTGGGAGAACCGCTAAATGTTCTTCTGCGGGCTTGTAAAGCAGAACGTGGAAGCAAGGTCGAGGGGAAAAGACGTTAGTCCCTTGTTTAAAAGAAAATCTAGCAGATGGTTTTCTCCTGTGTTTTGTGAAAGTCAGCAGGTAAAGGGGGCGGGGACCGGACCACCTGCTAGAAGCCCCTCAAGTGTGAAGCCCGGTCTCTGGTGCTCTCGCCAGATTCCTGAGCGACTTTGAAGGGACTGGATCATTCGTCCTGGGAAGGAATGCGCCAAAGGACAGGGTAGTGTGGTCTTTTCTGAGCTGACGATTATAAGCAAGACATCCATTTGCGTTTTCTTGGTCTGAGAGCCAAAACCCAGGAGCCCTCTGCTCAGCTGTCCTTGTGAATCCCACGAAATGGATTGCTGGATCTTATGGTAGTTCTATTTTTAATTTTTAAAAGAACTTCCATAGAGGCTGCACCAATTTACATTCCCACCAGCAGTGCATGAGGGTTCCCCTTTCTCCACACCCTCACCAACATTTGTTATTTGTTGTCTTTTTGATAATAGCCATTCTTCTAACAGCTGTGAGGTGACATCTCGTAGTTTTAGTTTGCATTCCCCTGATGATTAAATGTTGAGCATCTTTTCATGTGTCTGTTGGCCATCTGTATGTCTTCTTTGGAAAAATGTCTATTCAGGTCCTCTGCCCATTTTTTAATTGGGTGGCTTGTTGTTTTGATGGGGGAGACCAGGGAGGGGCCCTGGCGAGCGTCTGTCTTGGACTAGAAAGGGGCGCGGGAGGCCCAGGGACTCCTGTTGGCAGTGGCTGCGCCTCCTCTCTGAGTCTGAGGGGCTTTGGGAGGCTGGGGCCCTGGAGGCCCCTCTAAAGGCTGGAAGCAGGTGCTGTCGCAGGACATCAAAACGGGACTCCACTGCCCGCTGGTCCTCACCCTCCTGCAGCTGCCTCTGGGGGCGCAGCTGTCCCCCAGGAGGGCCAAGAGCTAGTGCAAACCCAAACTGTCTACAGGGCAGACGGTGTAGGTTCCTGTTTATGATTTTTGAGCATTAGCAGCGTAGCAGGGCAAGGCCAGACGCAAATTTTACTTCTAATTTTATAATTTGGAGTTAGATAAAGGACAGTAAAACCCAAAAGGGAAGGATAGGAGAAGATCACTAAGGAAGAAAAAAGAAGTGAACAGACGACACGTATAGAAATCACACTGCGTTGCGCAGATAAGCTTCTGTGTGACACGTAATGCTGGAGACAGGGGAAATTGATTTTATTCTTAAAGCCTAACTTTTAAGCTTTGTGCCTGTTTGAAGAATGGTGAGCATTCTGCTTTTACAGGAAAAGGAGTAAAATTTATTAAAACACGACAATTATGATAAAGGTATCGTACTGTTTTGTTTTCTATATAAAATATATAGTTTAAATTTTTGTAAATATCTACTTTAAAGCTTCCTTCACTGCATTCCATTTCATCTGCACCTGCCAGGGTGCTCGGCAGAGTAGGTGTGACTATGTATGTTACCTGCAGAGCCATCCTCTTAGCTGAGTGAGTTCAAGTGAGTTCCCAAAGTGAGCCTCACTGACATTTTATTTTAAAATGCAGTCATAAACTTTTCCTCTAAACAATTCAGAAATTATTTTTCCCATGGCTTTTTGAAAGAAAGTGTGTTCTGGTATGTAACTGAACAAGAATCACCTCCATTTCCAGCTGGTTGGGACCAACACTTTATGAAAGAAAAGAAAGGCAGCGACAAAGGCGGGAGTGGTGAGGTGTGTCCGGCAGGAAAGGCTGTTTCCATCACAGTGGGGAGAACGCGGAGGAATGACTTGGCGGACAAGTCCCAGTGTCATTAAGTGGTGGCTCTGAACTTGAACAAAACCCAGAAAGTGGACCTAAATTAGATATGGAGGGAGAAGATGACCAAAAACGAGGTTTAGAGACCTCAGCGTGCGGGTCGCTCTCTGCTCAGCTCCCGCGCCTCACCGGGGGTTTGCGCTCCACCTGCCGTGCGGGCTCCGTTCCGGTGTCGGAGGTGATTATGACACCTGTGGCAGTTGTCACAAAATGGGAAAAATGGGACAGACCAGGAGCGTGCAGTCGGGTGGCCTGTCTCTGCACACAGTTGGGGGTGTGAATTCAGTCACCTCCTTCATCTCTCTGAGTTGCAGTTGCCTCACCTGTAAAATGCGACGATAACATCTCTGTGATTTTTGAGAATTAAGTATTAATTCTCCCTTCCCTTTGCTACCTTTTATGATAACTGTGTGTTTGTTTTTTAGTTTGGGAATAAGTGCATGTAAACCAATTTTTAAATGATGACTTTTTCTCCCCTAAAAATACTTGCTTTCCTCTTCTTTTTTTTTTTTTTTTTTTTTTGCGGTACGCGGACCTCTCACTGCTGTGGCCTCTCCCGTTGCGGAGCACAGGCTCCGGACGCGCAGGCTCAGCGGCCATGGCTCACGGGCCCAGCCGCTCTGCGGCACGTGGGATCCTCCCGGACCGGGGCACGAACCCGTGTCCCCTGCGTCGGCAGTCGGACTCTCAACCACTGCGCCACCGGGGAAGCCCTCCTCTACATTTTTAAGATTTTATTTGGCTGTGCTGGGTCTTCGTTGTGACATGCGGGCTCTCTAGTTTTGGCGCTCGGGCTTAGTTACCCCGCAGCATGTGGGATCTTAGGTCCCCGACCAGGGATCGAACCCACATCCCCTACGTTGGAAGGAGGGTTCTTAACCACTGGACCACCAGGGAAGTCCCACTTGTATCCCTCTTCTAATAAAAACTTAAAATACCACTGGGAGGCCAGAAGTTCCCAATGTTTTGCTATCTCTCCATTATGGTGGGATGAATCTGATTAAAACAGCTCGTGAGACTTAATTCTGGGGAACCTGAGAAGCAGAAGGAAATGACTGGAGGAAAGACTGGAAACACGAAAGGAAATGGTGAAGCGAGGAGGGGCTCGGGATGCAGCCACTCTGCTCTGTTAACAGTCTGCTCTGTGGTGGGACATTGTTGGCTGTGTTCTCTTCCGTCGAAGGGGCAGAGGGTCGTGCTCTGCAGAGCACCACAGGGGCACATACAGTTGATGCTTATGATCTGAGGTCCTTACGCACAAAAAGCCACTGTGAACCCTGAACGCTGGCTCCTCGGGGATTACCCGGGCAGCTTCCCCCAGGCCTCTGGTCACAGCATTCTCCTCACCCGACCACAGAACCTTGCTGTGTGCGCTTCTGTTTAAAGACGCGCTGCTCCTACATATTGTTGATGAGTTAACATTGACCTCGTGGCCAGCAGCGCCTGACTCAGCCTGAATGCAGCTCATCTAACACTGCGTTTCCTCCTCCTGGGCTCAGGAACCCTGAAAACACAAAGAAAAGGCACCAAAATGCAAAAAAGAAGTGTCACTAAATGGACCACAAAAGACTATGTGTACCTGTGAGCTGAAACAGGAAGGCAGAGTGTGGCCTGTGCCGCGTCAGCTAAGTCAGGGTGTCCAGAGCACACGGCAGACATACTCAGAAAGCAGCCTTGTAGTCAAAGGCTGCGAGGCTCCCGGGAGGAACCAGAGAGGGTGCCGCTCTCGGGACGCTGGCTGGGTGGCCCAGGAAGGATGCGCACTTCATACCTCACTGGTAGAAAGCTTCCTTAGTAACAGCGAGTTTTTACTTTTTTTTTCTTTTCTTTTTTTTTTTGGCCGCGTCACGTGGCTTGTGGGATCTTAGTTCCCCAACCAGGGATTGAACCTGGGCCCTGGCAGTGAAAGCGCCGAGCCCTAACCACTGCACCGCCAGGGAATTCCCCTTTACTTTCTACTTGAAAGCAGAATAAACCCAACAAAGTAAGGCTTCAAGGAGCGAGAGTGACTGCGTTCTTCTCCAAATTCGCTTCTTCTGACCTTGAGCCTGCCCTAGGCTTTCTAGGGCCTCTGCTCCACACCCTCCTGCGCATTTCAGCTCTGGTCTGTGATGCACGTGTGAGCTGCGGCCTCCACACCTCTGTGCTGTGAAGGTCCCCACTTAGCTTCTCCTATCTAAGCCATCACTGCTGTTTTCCGAAACACCAGCAGTTTTGGAGACTTTCTCCCCCTCCTCTTCTCTGAATGACGCTGTAGTTCCTCTTTTTTTCTTTTAATTGGAGTATAGTTGATTTACAATGTTGTGTTAGTTTCAGGTGTACAGCAAAGTGAATCTGTTATACATACATCCACGTTTTGGTTTGTTTTTTAGAATCTTTTCCCACACAGGCCATTACAGAGTATTGAGTAGATTTCACTGTGCTCTGGAGTACGTCCTTATTAGTTATCTATTTTTTTAAAAATTTATTTATTTATTATTTATTTATTTAATTTTTGGCTGTGTTGGGTTTTCGTTGCTGCGTACGGGCTTCCTCTAGTTGCGGCGAGGGGGGGCCACTCCTTGCCGCAGTGTGTGGGCTTCTCACCGTGGTGGCCTCCCCACCGTTGCGGGGCATGGGCTTCAGGCTTGCAGGCTTCAGTAGTTGCGGCATTCGGGTGCAGCAGCTGTGGCTCGCGGGCTCTAGAGCTAAGACTCAGTAGTTGTGGCGCATGGGCCCAGTAGCTCCACAGCACGTGGGATCCTCCCAGACCAGGGCTTGAACCCGTGTCCCTGCATTGGCAGGCAGATTCCCAACCACTGAGCCACCAGGGAAGTCCTAGTTATATATTTTATATATAGTAGTGTATATATGTCAATGCCAATCTCCCAATTTATCCCCGCTACCTTATCCCCTGGTAACCATAAGTTTGTTTTCTACCTTTGTAACTCTATTTATGTTTTGTAAATAAGTTCATTGGTACAGTTTCTTAGATTCCACATAGAAGCAATATCATGTGATATTTGTCTTTCTCTGACTTACTTCACTCAGTATGACAATCTCTAGGTCCATCCATGTTGCTGGAAATGGCATTATTTGATTCTTTTTTATGGCTGAGTAATACTCCATTGTATATGTTTACCACATCTTCTTTATCCACTCCTCTGTTGATGAACATTTAAGTTGCTTCCATGTCTTGGCTATTGTAAATAATGCTGCAGTGTAAATTGGGGTGCATGTATCTTTTCAAATTATGGTTTTCTCAAGATATATGCCCAGGAGTGGGATTGCTGTGTCATATGGTAGTTCTATATTTAGTTTTTTAAGGAACCTCCATACTGTTCTCCATAATGGTTTACATTCCCACCAACATTGTGGGAGGGTTCCCTTTTCTCCACACCCTCACCAGCATTTATTGTTTGTAGAGTTTTTTGATGATGCCCATTCTGACTGGTGTGAGGTGATGCCTCATTGTAGTTTTGATTTGCATTTCTCTAATAATTCGTGATGTTGAGCATTTTTCATGTGCTTTTTGGCCACCTGTATGTCTTTTTTGTCTATTTAGATCTTCCACGCATTTTTTGATTGGGTTGTTTGTTTATTTGTTTTTTGATATTGAGCTGCATGAGCTGTTTGTGTACTTTGGAGATTAATCCCTTGTTGGTCACTTCATTTGCAAATAAATATTTTCTCCCATACTGAGGGTTGTCTCTTCTTTTTATTTATGGTTTCCTCTGCTGTGCAAAAGCTTTGAAGTTTCATTAGGTCCCATTTGTTTATTTTTGTTTTTATTTTCATTACTCTAGGAGATGGATCAAAAAAGATATTGCTGCAATTTATGTCAGAGAGTGTTCTGCCTATGTTTTCCTCTAAGGGTTTTATAGTATACGGCCTTACATTTAGGTCTTTAATCCATTTTGAGTTTATTTATGTGTATGGTGTTAGAGAGTGTTCTAATTTCATTCTTTTACATGTAGCTGTCTAGTTTTCCCAGCACCACTTATTGAAGAGACTGTCTTTTCTCCATTGTATATTCTTGCCTCCTTTGTCATAGATTAGGTGACCATAGGTGCATGCGTTTATCTCTGGACTTTCTATCCTGTTCCATTGATCTATATTTCTGTTTTTGTGCCAGTACCATACTGTCTTGATTACTGTAGC